CCTTTTAGACTTTTGTTGCCCTAAAATTCCATTTTATTGGGAAACCATTTTCCACCTGGTCTTTCTTGACAGGGTTTTTTTCTACTTTAAACAGTTTCTAAATAAAATTCTGTATTTCAAGAGTGTCATGTCTTCTGAAATTTGTTTTGCTCTGGGTATAAAGAAGTTTTTAGGTTTTAGTGATACCATACCTGTGTTTTTTAGGACTAATCTTTTCAAATCCCTCACTGTTTTTGTCAAATGTGCTTATTTCTAAGCCTGCTTCCTTTTTTCTTCATTCATGTTACCTTTCTCAGTCTCCTGCTGTTTTAAATTCTCATTACTGCCAGAGGTTTTTCCTTTCAGAAGTTCAAAGCTTGATGTATCTGCTGTGAAACCTTAGGCCATGTCTTTCTGAGAAATGTAGCAGGAAAGCTCTTGGCAGAGGATTATGGGGAATGAATAATGTTTTATATATATATATTTAAAGGCATCAACACAATCTTGCTCTATAAAATGCTATTTCTCTTTTATAAAGTTCTGTGTCTTTAGAAATGAGTTTAAAAGGAGACTTGTTGCTGTTTTCAGTACAAAATAAAGTGAAATGAGTGGAAGGTAGTTATTTATATGGTCCTTAGAATACTTAGCATAGTTATGGATGATCTGAAAACCCAGCTTGGTGATAATTTTAACTAGAGGTGCACCCACATTACTTTTTCAGGAAGTTAATGGTATGATACCTTCCTTGAGATGGTTACACATCTTCAGAAGAAAATTGACACCAGATGCATTTGTAATCTACAAGAAGATATCTCCAGGAGAACATGAGTTTATAAAGACACTGTTGGGTGTTGGCAACTGAGAATTACCTTGGTAAAGAGTAAAGTTGTTGTGTATACTTGTGACCTAAGCCCATTGAACCAGCACTTTAGGCCGAGGCACATGAAGTCTTTTTTTGTTTTGGAGACAGTCTTACTATGTAGTTCAGACTGGCTTTGAATTATGTAGCCTAGGCTGGCTGGGAACTCATGGCAGTCCTCCTGCCTCAGGCTCCCAAGTGCTAGGACTATAGGTGTGGGTCACATGCTTGGGGAGGCACATAAAGTCTTAGATGTGACTTCTTTAGGTAAGGTCACTGGTGCAGTCACTTGTAATAAGCTGCTTGGTTTGATTGGTGAGCTCTGTTGTACAGGGGATAACCCCCCCCCCCCCAAACACACACACTTTGATTTAGATTTAGGATTTGGATTTAGGATTCATTCTTCATGCTGGTGAACTCAAGCTGATGAGTTTCACTGTCACCTGGGCCTGGTTGAGCATAACATTTTCCTAAAGCCCATCCCCAGATATTCTGAGTTGAGAGAGTTCAGGCTGGTTTTGAACTCCCTGTGTAGCCCAGGCTGGCCTTGAACTCAACTGCCTCAGTCTTCTTAGTGTTGGGATTATGGTGTGTGTCATTGCCCTGGCTTGAAATTTCAAGTCTTAGTTCTGACAGAGGGAGCATTAGATTTCAGTTCTATCTTTGTCAGGTTTTTTGTTTGAAACAGGATCTTGTTATATAGTTCAGGCTGGCCTTGAACTGATTATGTAGCCCATGCTGACCTCAAACTGGGAGGAGTTCTCTGACAGCCTTCCAAGTGCTGGGATTACAGTGTGCACTTGAAGTGAGTTTTTTATTTTTATTTTTTGGTACCGGGGATCGAACTCAAGACTTTGCGCTTGTGAGGCAGGCTGCGGTTTGAGTTTTAAGTCCGTTGACCTCTTGTTCTGCACAACAAAGATGTTGGGTGAAATGACTCCCTCACTGGGTACTTGGTGGGATCAGCATAAGCTAATGGATGAGAAAAGCAGTTGTGATGTTAGAAAGGTCTTGCCTTGGCAAGAGGCATTATTTATGACTTGGGTTCTTCATTTCCATCCTGAAATTTTGTTGATGATTAGAAAAAATTTAGGACAAGATTTTTGTATCCTGAAATTTCAGGAAGACATTTCTTAAGATAGGCTTTGGGTATTTTCTTTTTAATGTTTCTTTTTCAGCTTGGTGGTATTGGTGAGTCAAACTTGTTTCTATGTTTTATTATTATTATTTTGGTTTTTTTGAAATAAGGTCTTACTATGTAGTTCAGGCTTGGCCTTGAACTCACTGTGTAGCCCAGGCTGACTGTGAACTCCTGGTGATCCTCCTCCCTCAGCCTCGCAAGTGTTGAGATTATAAGCATGTGCTACCACACCCACCCACCATTTTCTTTTAAATGAAGATTCAGTGACTCAGATTCATTGATTAAAAGAAATGATACTTTCCCACAGATTACTCTCTAGCATGTAATATGGTTGTGAAAAGGAAATAGTTTTCTTTTTCTACAACCAAGGTGATTCTCTAGTGAAATTTTTCATTAAGGATTGTTCTATAAGATTTAATATGTTCTCATGGTGATGTTTACTATGGTTTATAATTTGCTTAGTCCACAAGTACTGTAAAACCTAGGCTTTAAACCTGATCAGCCTGGTCACATTAGCTTGCTGGCATGTGAGTGACCCAAAACTGATCATAATCGGCAGAAGAAATACAGTAATTGCTTTGTTTGTTTGTTTGTTTGTTTGTTTGTTTTGGTACCAGGGATGGAACTTGGGACCTTGCGCTTGTGAGGCAGGCAATAACAGTAATTGCTTTGAATCAGGCCAAGCCTTATCTGTGATCAGTGTCCTCAGATCACCATTTTTATTGCCTGGCACTATTGCTGTTAGAAATATGTCATACTTTTGAATTCACACATTCATTTTATACAATTTCAAAACTGGAGGGCCGGGGATTTAGCTCAGTGGTTCTGGCGCCTGCCTTGCAGGCACAAGGTCCCAAGTTCCATCCCTGGTATCAAAAAAAAAGAAAACTGGATGAGTTCATATTCGTTTCTGTGTCTTCATGACATTTTCTCATAGTTTTCAAAAGTTAGAATATAACTTGAGGGCTGGGAATGTGGCTTAGTGGCACCATGGCTGCCTGGCAAGTACAAGGTCCTGAGTTCCATCCCCTGTACCGCAAGAAAAAAAAAAAAAAAAGAAATATAACTTGAGTAGGCAGAGCTCTCCAAAGGCCCAAGGAGGGATTCTGTACTTGTGTGTTGAACTTGATTATAGTTAGTGCCATTAACCTAAATGACTTCAGACAGATTTTATGTAGCTATAATTTGTGATAGTCTGTTTCCTCTTCAGCTTAATCTGAATGGGAAAGTAGTTGTCTTATTCCTTGGAGTACAGAAACTTTCTGTTGCCATTATAGTTATAGTTGTGTACTTCATTAATGTTGTTATCTGGGTGAGCAAGTCTGGCCTTAGTGCCAGATTGCCAGGTTTCCTAAATCTTTACCTTACATCTTTTTTATTTTCATAAAGTTTAAATAACTCTCACTCTTTATACAGTAAGCCCCTGACTTAGGAACATTTGAGTTGTGAACTTTCACAGATATGAATGGACCTCACATTACGAATATTTGTAGATGTGAACCAAAGGAGGAAGTAGCTCCCTTTCTGCCAGACATTGTCACAGTTGTGTTGCTGGGTGCTTTCTGTACAGTCAGATAGTGTACAGTAGTATAGTGCTCACTCAGAGTCCAGAATGGCCAGAAGCAAGAAGAAAGGCAGTGGTGATATGGAGGGCCCTGCTAGGAAGCACAAAGTAATAACCATGGAAACATAAATGAACAGTATAAGACTCGCTTTGTCACTATTTACAAGTCCACACGAATGTTGCCCCAGAACAGAACTCGTTCATCAGTTGGGGA